GTACACGAAATTTGACTGCTCCCCATTTAATTTACATTGCTGTCAGTCAAATTTCGTGTACGAAATGTACTCGAATGGTTTCGAAAATCGCACCCCTGATGCTGACTAGCCGTACGCAGTATAATTATTCAATAATAAACTGTGTGATTGTTTTGAACTGTTCTAGAACCGTCTTTTTTCGAACCAAAACAAAGCTATTGTTGCTTGTAAATGTCCAAGTCTTCGAACTATAAACCATTATAAGTAACATAAGCATTGATTGAAACCTGTACTGCTTAAGTGAGAAGGACTCTTTTAGATTTTTAGGATACTTGAAACCTTGTCAAAAGCTGCTTATGCCAGCTTTCTCCTTCGCAAAATTTTCGTTTTGTGGTTGTTTTTATCAAGTTTCTGTATCTGTCGTAGGTAGACGTTTGCTTTAGGTATCCAAAGTGAAGCTTTCAATGCGGTGACTTTTTCTTCTTCTTCAGACTTATCTGTTTCCACTCTTGTCCTCTTCATATTTCTATCCATATCAATTTCTTATGATGCTCTTGACAACTGACTAATCATTAACTCTAGCCAAAACTAAGAAATGCGGTCAACGACCTTATTCAGTTGTGGTTCAAAAGTACCTATGCCAAATCCAGATTTCTTGAATACATTCTTCATAGTCAGCGTGGAAGGTTTCGGCGATGTCACAACTTCCTCTCTGACTCTTCTCCTGATTGCAGCTATTCTGTTATTGTGGCATTTATGTAGATGTTATGGAAAAGCTGTCTATATCATGAGTTTTTCATTGCTCAGTAAAAATTTATGGACACATCATGCAATATGAAGGTTATAAGACTATAGGTAGAAGACCAGATTATCCTCGGAAGGTAGTAGATACTGGAGGTAAAGATGAAGGTTTTTTTTAAAATATATGTAACGGAATTATGGGAGATCGAAAAATGAATTGAAAATGCACTTACTTTTTCTGTTGAATGCTATAAAGAAAACCAACTATATATACAGGGTGTTTGGTACATCAATAGGAAGTTTTCAATGAGTGATAGTTGGGATCATTTAGAAGCTGTTTGACCATATTTACCCTTATGCAAGGTTTTGTCGTTTTTGAGATATCAGCATTTTTAGATATTTTTGGAAAATATTTGAACATATTGTTTTTTTGGTAGTAGACACTTTAACCTTTCTCAATTTTTTTTTTGCGGTATTCCTAAGATGTCCCCTTTGGAAAAATATGGAAAGAAAAATCAAATAATTGATACAAAAAATATGTAGCCCAAGTAATGCGTTGAAATACATGGATTCAAAATATCTAAAGTTGGCGATATCTCAAAAAACGGCGAAACTTTCATAAGGGTAAATATGGTCAAACATCTTCCAAATGACCTCAACTTTCATCGAAATCTTCCTATCGATGTACTAAACACCCTGTCTATTTTTTCCAACCACAAAGTGGATTCCTGCTTGTTAGTCCGAACCTGTCCCGTAACCACTATTCAAATTATTCAAATGTTCCGATAAGCAAGTCTCCAAATATATTTGTCTTGCTTTATTACTGGCCATTAAAAAGATAGAGGCTTGGCGGTTCGGTAATTCTTTACTAATTTTCTTATTTGTTTATAGAGTTTTTATGGACTTACTTAGTTACGTGGAGAGGCTATTAGTCTCGAGATTATAGAAAAACGGCTTTATAACGTTGCGTGCTGAAAGCCAATATATTTTTATTATTCACTCCGGCGGATATAACAGAGAAAGGAATATTAAATGATAACGTTGATAAATTTGAGCGTGTCTACTTTTGAGATGTTCAATAAATTCTGTTTTTGGATCGAAATTAATTTTTAATTTGATTTGTTTGCTTCAGCTGAGCTTCTGTAGAACGAACAGGTTTCTTATTTCACTCAATCGACAAATATATTACATTTTTTATTTTATATTTTCAATACAACTAAATTATTAAGTATCAAGCCTTATATTGTTAAACTAAACTAGAATAAAATAAGTGCAAATTGGAAATAACAAGTGGAAAATAAATAATTATAAAGCAGTTACATAACAATATAGAGACAGATAAAATAAAAATACCAAAATACCAATGCCTACACCTAATACAGATAATCAATATTACTTACATCAAAGTCTATCAAAAATTCTTTTAATTTTTCAGACAAAATAAATAATTTCCAACTTCCAAACCACTACATTATAATCATTTTCGATGTTATATAACTTTTCACCAATATTCCTTTATTACTTGCAGTTTCTAGAGAAAAAAACTGGAATAACATTCAAAATTTTATCCTTTTAAAAAAAGAAAATTTTCTTATAATTATGAAATGTATTTTTGACAGCACCTATTTTTCTGTGAATAATAATTTTTATAAACGGATATTTGGTACTTCAATGGGCTCTATTATTTCTCCAATTATTGCTCAATATGTAATGGACGATCTTCTTGACAATTGTATTCCAAAATTACCTTTTCTTAAAAAATATGTTGATGACATTATTTTTGCAATACCACAAGGAAAACAACAAGAAATTGTTAATATTTTCAATAACTATAATCCAAATATTCAATTTACAATAATTGAAAATGAAGTTGAAAATTTTGTTCATCTCCTATACAAAATTGATAAGAACAACAAATAATGAAATTATACTTGATTGGTACGTCAAACCCACTAGTTCTGGGAAATATATGAACTATTTTTCATATCATAAAAAAAAAACTAAAATTAATTTAGTTCTTGGTATGAAAAATAACAAAAATATGTCATCAATCCCTAAAAGATCTTAAACATTTTAAAAGAATTACTTCTATAAGAAAATTCATAACCAGAAAAATTATTTAATAAATTACTCTTTTCAACCTATCGAACAACATTAATGACGTTCAAAACACAAGAGGAAATAGAACCTAAAAATTATAAAGCTTTTAAGCTTTTCCATATATTAGAGATTTAACAAAAGGGGACTTTCTACTCCTATACAATCTTGTGAAAACCTGTGATTGGACAGAAGTACTTCCAATTACAGGTGTAAATACCAATCTCAATGTATTTTATAGAAAGGTGTATGGTCACTTAGATAGAGCTATTCCAAAGAGACAAATCAAATATTCTTCCAGTAGTAAACCCCGATATCCACGGTGGTACTCCGTAGATTTTATACACAAAGTCAAGGAAAAGAATAAGCTTCATAAGAGTATTTCGGGGAATCCATCATTGCAATTATACTTTAATGAATTGAGAAAAAGCATCAAGCTGCAGACCCAAGCAGAATATAACTTGTATAAGAAAAATGTGGAACTTGGTCTACCACTGACTTCACGTGAGTCGTAACGCCACTGATCTGCTGGCACTGACACTTTTGGTGCCCAATTCTGTCACTTTAGTACGCGCGCATTAACGAAAGTCGGAGTTGGAAGTGTCACAGTGTCACTATTGGCAGGAAACTGATAAAATTTGGTTTTAGATCGGATTTTTACAAAAAACTCACATGGAACGTGGCGGGCCATTCACAAACAACAGCACTGAGTCTATTTTTGGTCGTTACATTCGTCTTATGTTTTTTCGTCGCCTTCGTCATTGTTTTTCAATTCGTCGTATTCTTGAATGCCCTCTTCCCTTTTCCCTGTGTGACGTGTGTCCTGTCAAAAATGTTTAGATGCTATGACCAGTAAGCAATGATGCAAAGCATGATAAAACGGATTCCTACATTAGTGTGACTGACTAATTGCGAAAGCTTTCATTAGATGACAGAGTCGTTTCCTTTTTATCAATGGCTTTATCCCCACGAAGAATAACATATTCATAAAAATGTAATATAACTCTATTCTAATTTGTCCGCTGTTTTAATTGTCTGGGGAGTTCAAAGTTAAATATACGGTAATAAAACTTAATTACCCTTTAATTCCGCAAAATAAGTGAATCAATTATAATTTTTTTTCCAAACTTTATTTGATAATAAAGGTAAATTGCTATACGAAAACAGGTTTAATTGATATAATAACCACCTGCAAGTATTAACTTTTTAATAGGCAATTTGTCTAATAGAGACGAACTGGTAATTTCCAATTTAGCAAGGCCTCTAATTAGTTGTTAAGTTTACTAATTCACCAATTTTACATTCTATTTCGTTGCTAAATGGATATATGATAAATGCGAAAGAATCGCGAAACAATTAATTAATTTGTTCGTTGCCTTGCCTGGGCAGTAGCCTGATGTTTATTCATTGTTGTAATTACAAGTGATTTGCACTTTGAGAACTCATTAATTACAAGATTTACGCCGACAAACAAATTATTATTATTATTATTATTATTCTAAAGACAATGGTAAATTTCTTGGGATTTCCTATATAAAAAAATAATGATAAATCAAAATTTAATGAGTTCATCAATAGATTGATTTCACCGGAATAGGAAATTTGGTACACATATTTGATTCAGTTATTAAGTTTATAAAAGCACAAAATTATATTATTTTGGTAACATAGGTACCATCTTTATCAATACAATTTTGCTTGGATTTTCCTGTAAGAACTTTTGAGTGTTTATGCAATATTTTTTTACCTCAATTCTTGGTTTATTGATTTTCAAACTTAGCCATTATCATAATACATCGATATTTTTTCACTATTTTATTTGGTGATGCATGTACTAATATTATTCAATTTCAGTTTTTGTTCTCTTGATATTCTATTCCTCTGTTCGATTTAGCCTTTCGTTTCTCTACTGGCTTCTCAGTTTTCAATTTTCATATTGTGATTCTTTTTAATCTTTTTTGTCAATATTTCAAATACGATTAATTGGTTTCCATTCCTATGTTCTCTCATTTTGTGTTTTGGTTCATCCTTATATGTTTGCTATTTTTCAGTAATTCGAAGTCACTATACACAGGGTCTCCTTTCTTCTAGATATTGAGAGTTTGATGTTTTGTTTTATATTTAAAAAAGTTACTATTTTGTTTATGAAAACTATTTATTTATTTATTTTTTCTTTGTTTCAGTTGACTCCAACGGCGAACCACCAAAACTCAAGTGCAATTTACGTAAACACAAGCCCAACAGGAAACCGAGAACTCCTTTCACTACGCAACAACTTTTAGCCTTAGAGAAAAAGTTTAGAGATAAACAATATCTTAGTATAGCGGAACGAGCGGAATTTTCTAGTTCTTTGCGTTTAACAGAGACACAGGTATGTACATCTGAATTTTCTATCGACATGATAATTCTAATTCTGTGTTAACAAAATAATTTTATTTATCAAATAATAATTTCTTCCAGGTTAAAATCTGGTTCCAAAACCGGCGCGCCAAAGCTAAACGCCTCCAAGAAGCCGAACTGGAAAAACTGAAAATGGCATCGTTGTCGAGGCACCCTCACGCGCTCTATCCCCATCCCGCGCTTCAGGGCTACTTCGCTCCGGGGGCGCATCCATTGGCGTCGCTATTGGGCGGACGACCCCCCATGTCGCATTTGGGGCTTTTGCATCAACCTCCGCCGCCTCCATCTCCGCACCTGGCTTCGCCTCCTGGACGGATGCGGTCTCCCAGTCCGCATTTGTCTTAGGTCCATAGAAAATTTGTAAGATTTTTATTTCTGCTCTTAAGCCATTGTTGAATGTTACATGCAGAAGATAAGTTTCTTTTTTTTTTTAATTCTGGCTCTCTGTTTTCGGTTTTAATGTTGCCCTTCTAATACCGAGTTTTATGGAACTTATATTGTGTACCTATAAGTTTCACATTGCAGTACATTTTTAGGCTCCCCGATAAATAGCAATAGAAACAAAGAAGTGCATAGGAAGCCTAAAGTTGGGTCTTTAAATTTTAACTGAGGTGGTAACCTAATCAATTTTGACACACTCAAATCAAAGGTGTAAGCATTCTGGGAAAGGAACTTTAGTTTCTCTTTCGAATAATCAAATATTTTCTCTATTTAGCTTGTCTTCTCCGTCGGAAGATCTCATAGAACTATATCGAATTAGTTTTTTTCGATATACGTTTTTTCGACGAGCTTCCTCAGTGTGTTATTTTTTCTGAAACAAGTTTCATAGAACCGAACAAAATAATTTTTTATCGGACATTATTTTGAGGCATGAGCCTGTGATAAGATTATGTATTTAGTTATTGTAAAAATATCTTTTCGTAGACAAATGCAGGATGGTTCTTGTAAGGAAGTGAATGAATAATACTTATTTATAACATACTAGACTTTGATATTGACATTTATTAAAAAAAATATATATCATGTCATTAAAACGGATTACCTTCATGCGCATTATCGGTATTTTCAGTAAAAACGTATATTTATGGTTTGTGGTCTGCGCAAATGTGTTGTTGATCCTCTTTTCTTTGATCAGCTTTATGTTTTAAAAGTTTCAAGAACTTTATGTCAAATATATACTTAATATCAAATGGTCATTGAAAACGAGGGATAATGAAAAACTAATAACTATTCTATGAACAATCTATCTATCAAAAAACAAAAAAACCCACAAGATAAACTACCTAATTAAATATAATTAGTTATGGAAGTTTGGCAAAATTGTGCACAATTGAATTGAAAAATAAATTGCTGGCCGTATATCGGGCTTTGAACTCTACACTTTATACTATCAACAATATTGTTGACTAAACAAAAATAAATATCTTGGTTTTTATATCGCCAGCAAATTATTTGCAATTATAAATATTGCAGCAACGTTAATTAACTTCACAATAATTTACGTCGGAAGATATACAAAGGAATGTGCTTTTTAAAAAATTTCTTGGATATATAATTCTAATCAATTATAGAAAAATAGCTCGCGATATCTTGCGACCTCCAGTTAGTTATCACAGGCATTTCGACCTCTACACCCATACTAATTATTATTTGACACCAACGACACGAAGAATATAATAAGTTTATCTATCATGTTTTGCATTCCTTGTAACCTAGTTATCATCTAGGATTCAGATCGTATAGGTACTTTAAATTCTGTGCCATTTAGGTCAGCACCAGTAGATTGGATTTGTTTAAATGGAGATTGCGTAGAGGCATCCTCTACAACTGCAACCCTGTCAAATTTTTTGTGGTATCTCCTATCTGTCCTAAGAGTGCGTTCTCTAGACTCCAGAGCCATGATACCGAATACTCCATATAGTTTGCCGGACTTGGGCTTTTCTTCTTCAAGCCTCGCGTTGTACCACACATGGACGGTAGTTTCTTCCGCCTCCTGACAGAACCTGCACAGGCTCATTCTTTCAAGGTGCTTGTTAAGTTTGCAATGCCCTGTTAATTGGCCTACCGTTATCCTAACAATCTTGCGGCTGTGGCTTAGGAGGTCCACTGTGAACTTGGATTTGATGAACTACTTTGCCTGTCGTTGTCCTAATGTTTGCTGCCACCAGCTCTGGATTTCTCTGTCTATCCAGTTTTTGATAGATGTTTTGAAAAGGCCTGCAGAGATTTTGCCGAATGCTTCCGGGAATATCATCTCAGTGGCTGAACCTTCTTTGGCTAAGTCGTCGGTCTTTTCATTTCCTGGGTGTCCCTCATGGCCTGGAACCCAGGCTATGGTAAGTTTGTTGGACAACCCTAATTCCTCTAGGGCTCGTATACAGTTCCCAACCAGCTTAGAGCAGTTTCTACTCTTAACTTTCCTTTCATTTATTAGTATGGCACAGTGCATTATTGTAGCGATTTCCACCTGAAATACTGTGACGTGCTGTCCGAGACTTGTGGATATCTCTACCCTTGGTCTCTCTCCGTAGATAGCCGCTCCGACCCCCTTGTTGGCCTTGGAGCCGTCGGTGTACCATATGTGGTTTTCTTTAATTGGAGTACCCTATCTGGTATGGCAACCTGGAAGTGCCTGCTGAAGATGAACATAGGCGTTGTTTTATCTGAAGGCATCTCACCTGACCTCCAGATCCTCCTTTATTTTCCTACTCATGGTCCTTTGGTGTTCTTCGCACACTTCGAAAGTGTCTGATCGCTACGGTCTGTGTGACCTCTGTACCCTAGGCAACCGAACCATAGGTTATCATTGGTCTAATTGTCATTTTGTATAACCATAGATTCGTCTTTAGATTCAGCTTTTTCCACAAAGCCTTCTACATCTTCCCAGGGAAATTTTAGCCTTTTGGACAACTTTGTTGAGGTGTGGACCCCGATCATCTTTTGGTCAAAAAATACTTCTAGATATTTGAGTTCTTTTGAGAAGGGGATTTCTGCTTTCTAAAGCTTAGGACATCGAAGACCTCTCAGTGCTCAATGGAGCTATAACGGTTTTCTGCGAATTAACCGACAAGCACCTGTTATCCAGTATGTTCAGTGCTTTTTGAGACATTTTCTAGATGCCGGCCTCTAGGTTTGTTTTGGTTCGTATACAGAATCGTTTTGGGTCAGTTCGCACAAGCGCAGAAAGTTTTTCGCGTTTTGGTTTTTCCAAAATCAATTCCGAATTTTTGATTCGCTGTTTTGGTTCCTGCACTACGCAGTTCGGAACTGTTCTGGAATCATTCTGACTGTCCGCTCCCCTGAGTAGGGATGGTTTGAGAATTAAACAGTTTGTACATGCGTAGTTGAAATTAGCCTTATTTCTAGAACTTTTTTTGGGTATTTTTAAGCACAAATGCTTTGTTTTGGTTTTGGAAAATTATGGATATCAAGCAGATCAAGCTATCTCTTCAGTTCAAGCAGTAATGACGAGACATCAAAAAGTGATGAGAACTTCCTAGCAATTCTTATACCGGAAGTTCTTGAGACCACCAAAAAAAGGAAAATTATGCTGAAGATATAATGCCCATGTACACGGATAAAGAGTTTCTTGATCATTTTAAGGTGTCACCAAAAATTATTGAAGATCTTGCAATTGAATTTGAACAATCAGAATATTATCCAAAAAATGAAACAGGATTTTTCCAGAGTATGTCCTGAAAAATGCCTGTGTGCTCGTATGGTATGCAGCACATGAAGCTGCCTCCTTCCGAGATGTTGGGGTCAGATTAAACATGGCAATAAGCAGGTACCCTCCACCTAATTATTCACAATGTAACCTACTTTTTGAGCTTCAAGTTAAGTCGAGCAACAACATGAGCAACATGAGCAATAACATGGCACACATTACTTAAGAAAAATAAATTAGTGAATAGGAAAATCTGACGCGATGAAGAAATGCGTTTTGGTTTATTATTTTCACGAATTGATTCCGAACAGTTCTGAGATTGATGCGTACTCAACTAAGCTGCTGGACAAATGAAACGGAACAAGCGAATTTTTAGGTTAACTTCAAATTCCAACATTACGCGAACTAAAAAAAATATCAATGAGCGGTTTGCGAAAATTAACTTCTAAATTACTCATATCACTCATTATTATCTTCTTTAGTTCGCGTAATATTGGAATCCAAAGTTAAACTAAAAATTCGCTTGTTCCGCTTCATTTGTCCAGCAGTTTAGTTCTGCTTGACTCTAGAATCGTCCTGTATTTACCGAGGGGTAAACTGCAAGGGAAATCTGGTGTAGAAATTAGGGGAAATCAGGGGAATTCAAGAGGAAATCAAGAGCTAATCAGAAGAAATCAAATGCAATCAGTGGAAATCTTAAGGAAATTAGGAGAAATCTCAAGGAAATCAGAGGAAATCTTAAGAAAATCATAGGAAATCTTAAGGCAATCAGTCAATCTCTAGATCTAACGCATGCGCAGTTTTCGAAAATATTTAGAAATTGAAGTTATGTTACGTTTTGTTATGTCCATTATCAAAATAAAATTATAGGTACTGAGAATTGTTATCTGTCTATTGAGCTTAATGGCCACTCCCTAATTCAAATAATAAGATTTTTCAACAGTAAGAATATAACCTCAGAATCATTTACACCATGGCTCTTCAGTAGCCAAGCTTGTGAAAAGTTGTTTAGGGTTACGAGGTCCATGTCTTCGACATACTCTACAGTAGTCAATTATTCTATAAAAGACATTTTACATCGAAATGACCGAATTCAAACTGTACACAATATAATGACAAATCTAAATCATGAGTTTGTGTTTCCAAGAGAAAAAAAGAGGACAGATTCTCAGGCTGTGAAAGATGGTTTTGAACATATCTCTGATGTCGAAAAAAAAATATTACTGAAGCCATGTCAGGCGCAATTATTGGTATGGAGGAATTGGGGATTTCAGTTATTGAAAATGCTGTCAACATCTCGTCAATTCCTTTAAGAAATATATAGGAAAATAATAGATAAAAGACTAGACAATGGAATGCTAGAGTATACTGAAACCTCGACGGAAACAGTCGTAAATGAATTAGAGATGGAATATGAAAAAGAAAAAAATGCTACCATTGAAGAAATCCGAGCAGATATAGGCAATATTTTAAATTCCGGGTCCTTTGGAGAACAACTTGAATTGAAGGATTTTTCCGAGGATACGTGAAACCGCAGAAAGATTTTTCATCGAAAGACAGTTCATTTTTACCGGTTACCTAAAACGATAGACAGTATGTTATTAAAAAATCTTCACTGTATTGGATTCTTGACGAAAAGATTGGCAGAATAAGCACTGACCGGTTGAAAAGATTTATCAGTAACACAAAGGCGACAACAACCATCTTCAAATATCAGACCGACAAAGAGGCATTCTAAGGTTCCTAACAAACCGAGTAATAAACACAAGACCACAGCAAACGTATCAAACGACCAAAAAGTTTAAATCTCGGGTCAAATTTGAATCCAAAACCCGAGCCAAAACCCAAGCAATATCTAAAAATCTGACACGCCGTCATCAAGCAACTCGAGTAATA